TAAATAAAAGTTTTCAGCACGAAATTTTAATTATATGAGTATACCTAAACATCGAATATAAAGTATATAAATTAAAATCTGCGCTTAATGATCTTTCGATTCGGTGATCGACATAACCCGTCACTAGGGATGTTAATCGGTCCCGCAGTAATTGTCAACCGACTTTGAGCAAGATTTATAAAAAATTGGCATTTTTAATCGGTATTCGTCCAGTAAATAAAATCATAGAAAAATCTAATAGAAGTTTATCGGTTTTTGCATTAGTTTTTGCGTAATTTAAATGGGACCGATTAGCTAAAATGTCAATTTTTTATAAATCTTGCTCAAAGTCGGCTGACAATTACTGCGGGACCGATTAACATCCCTACCTGTCACAGATAACGGACGTGCATACAATTGAATATATGACGTCAGCTATATTTTTTTTATGGGTGATGCTAATGCTACTGGGGCGTTCCTTTTACGGTGTATGCGAGTTTTTAATACTGACCTTCTCTGCTTTTGCAGAAGAAACTGGATCGGATTCTTCTTTTTGAATTTCTTGATTTTTATTCGTAGATTGATATACATTAACTTCGATATCGCATCTACTTCAATGACTTCGTTCTGTACATATCCGAAATATAAGAAAAGTCAAAGGACATTTTGCAAGATTGTTTGCAAGTTTTTAATGCTGACCTCCTCAACTTCTGCAAGAGAAATTGAATCAGATCCTTCTTTTTGGATTTCTTGATTCTTATCCGTATGTTGTTGGTATACAGCTTTGGTTATTTCTATAACATCGTCGCTGATGATTCCGACATTCGAATTTCCTTCATGTGCACATCCGAAATATAAGAAAGTTTAACATTTTTGCAAGATTATTTGTGAATTCATAATGCTGACCTTTTTTGCCTCTACGAGAAATTTGATCGGAACATAATGTGCTATTGGAACGCTTGCCCGAATACGTTCCCTCCTCTCTGTAAGATGAGCGTAGTTGCCTTCCGTGATACTTCCCAGAGTCTTAAAGCGTAAGAAGTGACTCTTTATCGTATGTTTTCCGAACTTAGGACTTATAATAATTTATGATTATTTTTCAGGAAAAATGCATAAATAAGATTTAAGAAAATTCTCCTTGGTACCCTTACTTTTAATCGTTCAGTCATTAACTCATCCCAAAATTGATAAAAATCAGGTGTGCGACCCTGTTCCATCTATGTTAAAAGTAAATTGTTAGACATATATATATATATATATATATATATATATATATATATTTAAATTCCCCGTGCTAATTATAGCATTCGGGACGCGTGTGGCGTATTTTATTATCTTAATTAATAAATAAACTATTTATAGTGTAAGTATTTACATATTTTTCTATTTATACGATTGTTCAGGGAGTTAAGGTTTAGTGCCTTAATTTCCCTCTCAACCCGACTATTAATGATCGCTGGGATAGATGCTTCTGGTCTATTATTTTCTCCCCATTTTATGCTGGTGTACTAGCACCAAATCTCATATACTGTTACTGTATTTAGCCATTGGATTGTCTTGTGATAACATTTCTGTATAATGTTTGATTTTGTAAAAATGTCCATAATAGTGCTAGGGATTTCAGGAATATGTTGTATTTTGAGGAATTTATATGTCTCTGTCCAAATTGCTTTGCTAATTCTGCAGTCTGTAGTGAAGTGTTCTGGTGTATGCAAAGTGTTCTTGCACCAGGGACATGATCCCGATTCTGTTGGTGATACATGTTGTAATCTGTATCCCAGGAAAAGTGCTCTATGTGAGAGTTTCTATAAAATATCTCTTTTTTTGTTATCAATGCTCTTGCAAAGAATCTAGTTGTATGGGATACTATATTCAGATGTATAGGTAAAGTGAGGTAGGTGTGAGGCTTCTCATAGGAAATTTACTATATCTTTAACTTGAATTTTATTTTCTTTTTTTCTCTTTAGCATTATATCTTATAGTTGCCGGGGTTAGTTTGTTTAAGAAGATATTGAACCATTTACTTTTTTTCAAGCTAATAAGTATGGCTTCTACTCTGTAGGCCATGCTTTGGTGTATACTGGATTGGTTATTAGGGCTTGTAGAATTGTAATGTTTCTTTTGTTTTGTAAAATTTTTGAAATCCTTTTTTTTTCTATTTTGGCCTATAGAGTGTCCCCTGTTAGAAGTTTGGTTCATACTGAAAGCAATTTTGCTTTTAACATGTTTTCTATAATTGGGGCTTGAAGATCACCTTTTTCATATGATAGTTGGTAACTGAGTATCCTAAAAGCATTTTTGAATTCTCTTTTACCCAGAGAGTTATTAGACTATTTATTTCTGCCACTTGTTTTTTGCTTAGAGAAAGGATATATACAGTATACCAAATACAAAAAAGAATTAATTAATATTCTTTCTTTAAAAGAGAGGTTTCTTGAAGCAAGATTGTTTAAAGAGTGTTTAAGGTTTGTAATTGTAGAAGACCATAGGCCCTTTCTAGGTTGACTATTTAAGTAGATCTCACATCCTAGTATTGTAATCATATCTTGTTCTTTTGTAATTTTAAAGTTAGTTATGTTTGGAAGATTTGCTCTTCTAGCCATTATTGTTAACAGAACTATCTTTGTTTTGTGTTTGTTAATTTTTGCTCTAGAGGCTTTCTTATATAGATCAAATATATTAAAAACTTTTAACTAATCAGAGACTCTTTTTAAACCTATTGTTAAATTATTAGCATATGCTATTAATTTGAAGGTGTGGCTATGAATTAGTATACCTTGTACGTTCTTGTCAATAGTTTGTAATACTAGCTTGAAAGCTAGTATATATAGAAGAGGAGATAAGGGATCATCTTGTCAGACTCCTCTTTCTATCTTAAAAGGTTTTGATAAAAAGCCTGATTCGAAAATATAAGCTACTTGGTTGGCAAATAGATTGCTGATTAAATTTCTAAATTTTTGGTTAAAGTTTATCTTTTCAAGCACTATTTGTAGAAAATTATAGTCTATCTAATCAAAGGCTTTTTTTTTGTTGATCTACTAGTAAAACCTAGTATTGTTTAATAATATTGTTTTGATTTCTTATTATTGTAAATGTATCTAGTGCTATATCTGATATCGAGCATTTAGAAACAAAACCTTGTTGGTGTGCTAGAATTATTATGCTGCAGATTTTATTAAGCCTAATGGCTATAATTTTTATAAAAATTTTAGCATCACAATTTACTAAAGAGATTGGTCTTCAGTTATCTATATTGTTCAAATCTGCTGTTTTTTTTGAAATAAGTGTAATCAGGTTCTTGTACTAGGACTTGAGAAGAGAATTTGAAGTGAGGACTTGATTAAAAATTGTTTTCAGAACTGGGATTATATGCTCTTCTGTTTGTTTATAGAATTTGTAGATAAGGCCACCTATGCCAGGAGACTTGTTGTTGAGAAGGTTTCTAATAACTTTAGTTATTTTAATCTCTTATACTAGTTCTGTATTTTCTAAATATGGAACTCTAAGAAGCATGTCTGTTAATATATTTGCTGTATTTAGGTTAATTTTTTCTTTTTTATAGAGTTTTGCATATTGTTTTTTGATATAATACAAGATTTGATCATCTTCTAATTGTGATAGTATCTCTTGATTTATAATATCCTTTAAAGCAGAAGAGTTGGTTCTTGGTTTATATCTTGAAAAAAAGTATTTGGTTGATTTTTCTCCTTGTTCAACTCATCTTGCCTTTGAACGTGTTTGCCATCTCTCTGCTAGATACAAAGTTTCACTTAAATTTGCTAGTTGAGATTGCTAATTGTTATATATAATTGTATTTGCTCAGGGTTTGCTACTAGTGAGGATTTCACTTCAGTTATTTTTTTATTCAAGATGTCAATTTTGTTTTCTGAGGCTCTGGGTTTTTTAAAAGCTTTAGTGATTGACTGAATACATATTTTGTGCCAATCTCATTCTATTGCTAAGTTAATTGATTTAATTTCTTCTATGATCTTTTTTTCAGGTCCATATTACTTGCCTAATAACAATTTCTCTAACATCTTTTTTCCCAACAATATTTTTCCAACATATCCTTTCTTTAACAACCATTTTTCCAACAACCACTTCCTCAATATATTCTTTTTTCCAACATACCTTTTTTCTTAATACTACTTCTCTGATATCCTCTTTTTAGACATATTTTTTTCTTCAAGTTGAAAAAAAAAATATATCTGAGAAGGGAATGTTGGGGAAGTGGTTGTTGAAAAAAAAGGTATATTAGAAAAAAGAGTGTATCAGAGAAGTAGTTCTCAGAGAAATAGTTGTTAAAGAAGGAGTATATTAAGAAAATATTATTAGAGAAATAGATGCTGACCATTGTTGTTTTAAAAAATTATGAGTGTTTTAGTTATCTAAATTTGTTTTTTGTAAAAGAATTATATCTAGTTTGTATATCTTTAATAAAGTTAGTATTTTTTATTATTTCTCTTGGTTGTTTAAACCCTTTATATTAAGAGTAGCTATGTAAATCTTTTTGTTTACTATTATGAAAAAAGGCAGAAGTTATTGAGAAGAAGAAGAAGATTCTTCTCTGGGTTTCTTGTATAGAGATAGTCTTGAGCTGTTTTGTTTTAATTTGTTATTATTGTTTTTTTTTTGTTTTTCTTGTTTGTAACTATAATAAATCCTTCCTTTTCTTAGTTGGCCAAGGTGACTAAGAAAGACTTGATTAAGTTCTCTAGTATATCTTGTGCTTTGAAGACTTGAACTAGATTCTCAAGTATTAGCTTGTCTTGAGGAAGTTGTTCTGCATAGTTATATTAGTGGTATATTAGTATTTTTTAAATTTTTATTAAGTAACTCTGTGTAATTTCCAATTGTAGTACAATTCTAATTCCACTAATGGAATCCTTGATATCAATTTTCTTAGCATAGTTTTTACATTTGTCAATCAGGTTAATAATTAATGAGTTATTACAATTTAAAGATATATAACTATAGAAGATTTCGAATAATAATCTGTCACCCTTGTAATACAGGACCCATTGGTACAGACCCATTGGTACAGACCCATTGACACAGACCCATTGGTATAGACTCATTAGTACAGACCTGTTGGCACAGACACAGACCTATTGATACAAAATATTATTTATTCTTATATAGAGTTTTAAAAGATATAAAAACTCTGTCTTTTTGCCCA